GCTCGTGTAGCTCTTTAACCGACGAACAGTCATACCCTTCATGATTTCTACATTCATGTGGATGAGCTAAGCCGACATCGAGGTGCCAAACCGCGCACTCAATTTGTACTCTCTTGCGCAAATTAGCCTGTTCAATTTATGTTATCATAAAAGCTTTTTATCTTTTATTTCCATTATTTTCAAAAATGGTTCAGACTATTTCATCATCTTAATTAATTATATAAATTTTAAGAAAGGTATAAGAAGAAAAAATTTTTTTTTTAATATCCACTTAATCAACCTTTAATACCAAAAGATCCTATAGCAGTCTTATTATTAAGGCTAGTATAATCTATATTAGATTTAAAATTACCTCTTAATAAACTTGAAGATTGTCCAAAAAAGGTTGAATTATAATTCATCATATTACCTTTAATTTGATTTTTACTTAAAGATCTTGCAGCAGTAAAACGTCTAGTTAATCTACCATTAGCTTGTAATTTTAGACCACTAATTTTTTTATATTTAATATTATCAAATATAGTTTTTTTTAAATAATTAGATTTAGTTTTATTTTTTAATAATAAATCATATAATAAAATATTAGTTATATCATATTGATTATGTTGACCCTTAAATATAAATTCAATATTTTGAACATTAAACGTATATTTAAGCTTAGGTTTATATATTTTAGTATTATGGTTTTTTAAAGGTAATTTTTTTATTATTTTTTTTATAATACGATTTAAATTCATTCTATTTTTTTTTATCGAAGATATAATCTTTTGTGTAATAAAATAACTACTAAAAAAATAATATTTAATATTTACAAAATTAAATTCTACATTTTTTTTATAAAGTTTTTTTATAATATTTATTAAACCTTGTAAATAGTTATTTCTAAATTTTGATTTATTTATATATATTAATTGTAATATATATAAATATAATTTTGCTATTTTTAAAGATTTTTTTATGAATAAATTAGAATAAAAATTTTTAAAAAATTTTAAATTTTTAAATTCAAATCTTGTAAGATTATTTAATATAATATTAACTAAGATTTTATTTTGTTTAAATTTATAATATCTACCTACTTTATATAATCATTTTAAGATTCTTTTATTTTTTTTAACTAAAAATCTTTTATATTTTAATTGAAATAAATAACTATGCATAATAGGATTATAAAAATAAATAGTAATATTAACTAAATCATTAGTATGTTTTAGTTGAGCATCACTTAATAAAAAATTATATTTAGATTTTAAATATTTTTTTAAAAAGAATCTCTTAGTAAAAAAATTTTTTTTTTTTAAATAATAACCATTAAAATAACCTCTAATTATATTTAAACTAATATCATTAATTATAGATATTAAACTAACATTATTTTTATTATAAACATAAATACTATTTTTTCAATTTCTTATTATAGGTCCTGATTCTTTATAAATAAAATCTGTATAATTTTTATTTAGTGTAATCTTTTTATAAACTTTTTTAATTTTTAATTGAATTATATTCAGCATTTTTTTTTTTTAATTTATATTATTATACATTAATATAATTAATGACTAATTATATAATATACTTATCTTTAACTAAAGTTAAACCTATTTCATTAATGAATAAATATTTATAATAAATCATTAATATTTATACAGACATTTAAATATCTATAAGAAATATATATAATTAATTAAGATGTTGGGATTATATAAAAGGATTATTAATAGCACTATTCACCTTTTAGTCGTTGAACGTTCTTATTTAATTTATATATTATATAAATATGCTAAAATAAGTTTCGCTTCAAATACTCTTAAATATAAGTTGTTTTTGAAATTTACCCAAACTATTACCAATATTTTAAAATATTGGAGGACTAACATTAATCCCTAGCGTAACTTTTTCTTTAATCCAAGACCTTTCCTTTCTGCATCTTGTGATCATATGCCCCGCTTACGCGACTGATAGACTTGTATGTCAAACAGTAAAGCAAGATTTAGCCATTAAACTTTTAAAGTATATAAAATTATCATATTAATATGGATTAATATATACAATATTAATATAACTAAAAAACTAATAATTTATTAGTTTTTTATATACAACTATTTACCGCATAGTTAAAATCTTACTTAAATTTTATAAAATTCGAATTTAATACTATAATAACTGAATAAATATAAAAATTATTCATAACAAACTAATTAAAAATAATATTCTTTAAGAATAAATATATTATTTTTATTGTAAATTAAAAATTACAAATTTACATTTTTAACTTTGGATATACCCAGGTACTTTTTATGGGATCTGTGCCCCGCATAAACTGTCTTCCAGTCATAAAGAATATAATAGTTTAAATAAAGGTGTTTCAATTCTATCTTTCAATTACCTTATTCACTGACAATTAACTTATTATAAACATAAAAGGTAACAGTAAAGCTGCATAGGGTCTTCTCGTCTACCTAGAGTTAAGCAGTATCTGCACTGCTATTCCAATTTCACTGAGCCAATCATCGAGACAGCTGTTGTATCGTTAAGTCATTCATGCAAGACCGCATTTAACGGCCAGGGTATTCCGCTACCTTAGGACCCTTATAGATAAGGCCGCCATTGATCGGGGTGTCCTTCAAAACCTAACCTTTCAATTAAGTTTCTCAATTATCCAACCGACATCGGGCAGACATCACACTCAATACTTTGATTTTTAATCTTTGCAGAGTGCTTTGTTTTAATTAAACAGTCGTACAACACTATTTTATGATTCCTCTTATTAAAAAAAAAAAAAATTTTTTCCTTAATAACGGCACTCCTTATCCCGAAGTTACGGTAGTCAATTTGCCGAGTTCCTTAATGATTGTTCACTCAAACGCCTTTGTATACTCTACTTGCTTACTTGCGTTAGTATTTAGGTACGGTTTAGTTTAAATAAATAATTATTAATTCTAATAGCTTAAATCTATAAAAGGAATAGGTTTAATTTGCTATTTTCATTTCATTATCTATTATCGTTTAATTTCCAGAACCTTTATCACTAAATAAAGGTTTTTTATTCTGTTTGTGCGGTAATAATTTTTTTTAAGTAATTTAAAAAACTTTCTTTAAGTGGTTTAAAAAACTTTCTTTAAACCCTTTTACCAGATCCTTTTTTGGTCTTTACAAAAAAATCCAGAATCTTTTAACACCAATATCTAGTATCTTTATTAGCTCTTTTGTGACAAACAACTAATAAAGCCTTAAAAAAAATTAATACCTGTTATCATCGTATAAAGACTATTTAACACTCTTATATTCTAATTCTGGTAAAAAATAAAAGTATTTTTTCTAAATAATCTAAACCCTTTAGGGTTATAAAACACTTAGATACCGAAAATTCAGTTAAATACCATAAGCTTAAGGCGAGGGTGTTATTCCTTTTTCGTTACTCATGCCAGCATTCTCTCTTGGATTATTATTATCTTTATTATCTTAAAAAAGATAAAATCGAATATTTATCCAATGTTCCGCTACCTCATATATATAATATATTATATTCTATATTAAAATATATGCACAAGGTTTCGGTATATTATTTAGATCCGTTAAATTTTCGGTATACATATCTAAAAAAATTTAACCAGTGCTCTGTTACGAGATCTTCAAAAAATGGCCGCTTCTAAGCCTATTTCCTGGTTGTATTTGATAAGTACATCCTTAATTTCACTCAATAATAATTTTGGAACCTTATAACTCTTGTTCAGGGCTGTTTCCCTTTAGACATACAACCTTATCGTACTATGTCCGATTATTCAATATTCATCCTTGCCCTTTCGAGTGCAAATACTCTCCGATAAAATCATCACGATCCCCCGATGTGTGCAAAATATATATATTGCCCGAGATCCTAGTTCTGTACCTGCTAAGATGTTAATTAAATTACCTACTCACATAGGTTTCGCGGAAAACCAGCTATACTAGTCAGGATTGTCTTTCACCAACTTACCACAATTCATCGGATATCTTTACAACGATAACCCGTTCGGCCATATTAGAAGCCTGATCATGGTAAGATCACTAGCCTTCGGGTCTAAATTTAGATACTTTTCATTTTTTCATAATTGGTTTATCTGGGCAAATTTGCTTGCATCTAAGTTTAACTTGCTGACCCATTATGCAAAAGGTACGCTCGTATTATTCATTCAAAATTTATCTGAGCTGCTTATAAGACTACTATTTTCTATCGATACCTCACGGTACTCTTCGCTATCGCTTATATATTATATTTAGCTTTAGAGGAAGGTTCCCCTATATTCAAACAGATTTTTTCCATTTTACTTGTAAGCTATTTTATATTAGTAAACACTAATAATAAAATCTCGTTTGATTTTTTTTCCTAAAGTTAATAAGATATTTCAATTCACTTTGTTTATTATTAGATTTATCTTAGATTCTTAATATTTAATTATTAATTATTATCTTTAATATATAGCCAGATATCCGTAATAGTCTCTTTATATACTTCTTTTGATTAAAACCAAAAATAATATCTTACATAGTTAATTGTTTTATATCAGGTTATTATGATTCGAACATAACAATTTCTCATCCCAATTGAGACGCCTTACCGCCTGGCTCTAACCTGTATAAATAAACCAGAGAATATCCGATTCGAACGGATGTGATCGTTGGATCAAATAAGTTTCAAGCTTACCACTTTAAACCACTCGGTCAATTCTCTATTTAACTTATCTTTACCTTGTTTAAATATTATATATTTTATTTTTTTTTATATATTAAGCCCAAGAGCACTCAGACTTGAACTGAGAAACTAAAGTTTGAAGCTTTATATTTTACCATTTAAATTAAACTCTTTAGGTAAAGAAAAAAAAAAAA